CCCTGTAGGGGGACAGGCCCGACTCAAGGCCAGTGCCGCCCCGTGGGCGCCAACGCTGTCCAACTGCCCCGGCCACGGCTGCTTCGAGGACGCGCCGTGCTGGTTCGGCGGCGTGGGCTGCGGTGGCCTGGGCGCGTGGCTGACGCCGGCGCGCACTGTCCGGGCTGGCGTGCCCACCAGCACCGTCGAATGCAACGCAGGTGGGGGGCACTGCCAGCGCCAGGCCGTCCGTCCACGCTCCAGCTGTTCTGGTCACGGCTGCTTCTTGGACACGCCGTGCCCGTATCGCTGGGGCCGTGGCTGCTGACCCCGACTCCGACTCCCATTCCGACGCCCGCTCCGCATCCAACTTCGACTCCGACTCCGTCTCCGACTCCGTCTCCGACTCCGCGTCCGACTTTCGCTCGGACCCCGTGGTCCGCTTCCGACTCCGACCCCCGCTCCGACTCCCGATCCCCACTCCGACTTCGAGTTTGGTTCCGACTCCGACTCCGACTCTTACTTCGACGCCGTTTTCGATTCTGGTTACGACTCTGGCTCCGACTCGGGCTCCGACTCCGACTCCGGCGCCGGCTCCGACCCCGATTCCGATTCCAACTCTGACTTCGGCTCCGCCCCCCGTTGTCGGCTTCGGCGGCGGAGGGGGGCTGCGGCGGCGGTAGCGGGGACTTTGGCGTCGACTGCGGCGGCGGCGGCGGCCTGGGCCGCCGGCGGCCAGGGCGGCGGCCAGGGCGGCGGCCGCGGTGGCGGCTGCCGTTGCTGTGGCGGCGGCGGCCGCGGGGGGTCGGCGGCTGCAGGGGTTGCGGGCGGCGGTGGCGGTGGCGATTCCGACCCCCGCTCCGACTCCGCGTCCCGCTCGGGAGCCGGTCCCGACTCCGGCTCCGACTGCGGTGTCGGCCCCGGGCCGCGGCGGAGACGTTGTACACCCTAGGCGATGCTTCAGAAAACTGAAGTGTTCGGCCAGAGTCTCGATTATTCTTGACTTTTGAATGTGAATCCCAAGATTTTGATAGAAGTTCTGGGTTTTTATTCAATTTCTGAGAATATGAATTTCTGAACCCATGATTTCTTAAGCATTTCGCAGGGTGTACATTCCCCAGGCCTTTTCTTCTCTGTGTGCCGTACTCGGGCGATCTCGCTGCAGCATGGATTGCAGCTCCTGTACTGGTACCTCGGTCGCGATGGGGGCGCAGGACGCTGAGGCAGCTCAATTTCGCTTGTCTTGTGTCCTTGGTGCTTCGATCACCTCGCTGTGGTGTTTTCTAGACATCATCACAGATTTTCTTCGGTTTGTGTGAAGTAATCAATTTGTTGTTTTGATCGCATCAGCTTTTTGCATGTGGTTGCTCATTGCAGGTTTTTGTGATCGTTTTGTGGAGTTATATATATATATATGATGATGATGAATTTGGCTATTGCGTCCAATTTGATTCTACGATGTGCTGCAGGATTGTGTGGTGATCTCTGTATCACTTGAATCTGGGAGTTGTTGGCGGAAGAGCCTTCCTTCCGAGCTCGATCTTTTATCATCTGTCATGTTCAGTTTTTTTTTTTGCGACGCAGCGGCTTCGTGTGGCTGTGGAAGACATTTGGGGGTCTGCTTCATGACGCGGCGCTGTTGACTTTCAGGGTCGACTGCGCTCCTATGCCACGATGATCCGTCACTCTTCACGTTTGCTCGGCATGATATTCGAGTCATTTTCCTAGATCCTCTACTCCTATTCTCCGTCTTGGTTCTGCCCTTCCCGCTCTTTCCCTGCGCCTGCTTCCTGGGTTATTGGGCTTCCTCTCCCTGGTTTCGCTATTTTCGAAGATTTTTTTGTCGGCTCTTCGCTTGTCAGTTTCATGAGGTGCAGCGTTCCTGCTTCGTCGTCTCCTCCCCTCCTCCTCGCGTGCCGCCCCCCCTCCTCTCGGAGGTTCGGCCTCCCGTGTGTGCTGGCAGATGCTGCGAGCGCCCCTTCCCCTCATCCTTCGGCGGGAGGTAATCCGCTCCCGTGCGGGGGTCGTCCGCCGGTCTCCCGTCCTCCTCTCCCCTTTGCGTCTCCCGTCGCCGTCGCCCCCTCCCCGTGCCGCCCCCCTTCTCTCGCAGCGCTCGGCCTCCCGTGGGATCTCAGATGCTGGCGGGGGGGTCTGTCCTCTCCCCGCGCGCGAACGGCATGTCCGGGCCCCTCTGGACTGCAGGTGCTGCGCGTGCACTCTTCCGGGCACCCTTGGCGGGGGGCAGCCCGCTGCCCTTGCGGGAGGTCATCCGTGCGTCTCCCGTCCTCCTCGTCCCTCTCTTCTCTCGTCGTTGTCGTCCTTTCCTCCCCTTTGCCGCCACCCCCTTCCGGAGGCCGGGCTTCCCACAGGATGCCATATGCTGCGAGCGCACTCTTCTCTCGCCCTTTGGCGGGGTTAATCCGCTCCCCGTGCGAGGGTGCATGTCCAGGTCCCTCCTCTGCACTGCAGACGCTGTGCGCGCACTCTTGCCGGTCCCCTTGGCGGGGGGTAGTGCAATCCCCGTGCGGGAGGTCATCCGCATGGTTCCCGTCCTCATCGTCCGTATCTTCTCCCGTCGTCGTCGTCGTCGTCGTCGTCGTCGTCGTCGTCGTCGTCGTCGTCGTCTGCTCTTTCCCGTGCCGCCCCCCCCCTTTCGGCGGATGCCAGACGGCGCGAACGTTCTTTTTTGTTGTTCTTCTTTCTCTCTCCTCTCTCTTTCTCTCTCTCTCTCTCTCTCTCTCTCTCTCTTTTTTTTGCTATCTCTCTCTCTCTCTCCTCTCTCTCTCTCTTTTTTTTTTTTTTTTTTTTTTTTTTTTTTTTTTTTTTTTTTTTTTTTTTTTTTTTTTTTTTCTCTCTCTCTCTCTCTGTCTCTCTGTCTCTCTCTCTCTCTCTCTCTCCCCCTGCTCGAGGGCTTTCTCCTCCCCGTGCGGGGGAGTCTCCGCACCGTCGCCTCCTCTGCGGGGGGGCTTTTCTCCCGTCCTCTTCGTCCCTCTCTTCCCCAGTCGTCGTCGCCCCTTCCTGCCCGCGGCTGCCCCGCCTTTCGAGGCACGGCTTCCACGTGGCCTGCACGCCTGGGCGGCCCCTGGCCGCCCTGCGGTCCCTCCTTCTCCCCCCCCTGCCTTTGCGTCGTGACTCCCCCTTCAAACCTCTCGCCTCCCTTCTTTTGGGTGGCCCCTCCCCCTCTTCGCGTCCTGCCCTGCCCTCGCTGTGTGGTGTCTCCTCCCCTCCCCTCGGCTCCCCGTCCTCCGTCTCTCGGCCCACGTCCGTCGCGTGCGTCCGCCTCCCCCGTAGGCCGTCCGCTCCTCGCTCCCCGCTCCTCGCTCCTCCCTCGCTTCGCTTGGCGTTGCGCTCCCCTGTCTTGCCGGCCTCTCACCGCCCCCCTTCGGGCTGAGTCGGCCTCGGCGCCACCGCCCCGCCACCGCCCCGCGCCGAGGGGCTGGCCGCCTTCCCTTTTCCTGTCGTCCCGCCGACACTGCGTGTGCGCGCGGCTTCGGCCGCGCGGGCGCCTGGCGGCCTGGCGAGTCGCGGGGTCGCCACGACCGGAAGTGTGTGTGTGTGTGTGTGTGTGTGTGCGTGCCCCCCCTTTCGCCTCCTCCTCCTCCTCCTCCTCCTCCTCCTCCTCCTCCTCCTCCCTCTCCACATTCACACAATATGAACACTACTCTCCTCTCTCCCCTGACTCTGTCCAGAGGGTCCCCCGTCCTCCCCGCGTATTTTTTTTTTGCACAGGTTTTTGTTATGTGTTGTTTCCTGTTCTTTTCAATTCTATCGCTTTTGGTTCTTCCATAATAGTGCTCCCGCTGCAGCGCTGCCCTCATTTCCGCGCTTCGGTCATTCAACATCGTTTCCCCGCTGCAGCGCTGGCCTGGTTCCCGCGCCTCCAGGCGGCAGTTGGCATTCGAAAGCGCCCACATCGGGCAGGCGCGGTTGCAGAGGACATGGAGCTGGCATTTTGGACAGGCCCTGTCTTTTCGTAGACGGGCCTACTCTCTAAGTCATTCGGAGCTATGCTACGGCATATAATGCGTTGCTGTGTTGTGCACCGCTGTGCGATGCCACGCTTTGCGTTGCTATGTTTTGTGATGGAATGCTTCACTACGCAATGCCACGCCATGCTGTGACATGCTGTGCTCTGCCGTGCTCTTGTACGCTATCTTTTTCCATCCATCGCTCACCCTCTTGGGATCATTGCCCCGCTCGACGTCCGACTGTGCGAATAGATAGGAGATCGACGCCGTGGTAAGGGATGGGAGGGAGGGGTAGGACGTCAGATGTGACGCTAGCGTTAAGCCGGGCTTGTCTCCCTTCAGGGGGATTTTGGACGGAACATAAAAAATACCCCAAACAGCCTCCTCCGCCCCCTGCTCATCCCCCCCCCTTCTCCGCCTCGCCTCTCCCCTTCTCCCGCCCTGCTCCTCCTGCTTCCCCTGGCCAGGCTTATGTCGGGCCTGTTCCCCTACAGGGGGATTTTGGACGAAGAAAAACATACCTCAAACATAGTCCAAAATTAGTCCAAACATAGTCAGAAACATAAGGCCAGGGTCGGTGAGGTGGTCGATCGGGTTCGCCCGGGACAGGGGCCTGATCTCAGGATTGTTTCGCGTCTTCCCATCCCCACCAGGCCATGGTATATCGGCCCCATCACCTCAGCACCCCAGTTGGGGCTATATTGTTCGCAGCCCGAGGAGAGCAGCCCATCTTCCCATCGAGGGGGGTAAATCGGCCAGTGGGGCTCAGGCCACACCAGTGGGGATGGGGATCGGTCGAACGATGTTCATGGCACGAGCCTGGTGTCTCCAGAGCGTTGTGGAGCGCCCTCGGAGCGCTGCAGAACGCCTCGGCAACGCCTCGGCACGGCCGCGGCGCCACGGACGACCCCGCAGACCCGACCGCGGTGGTGTGTGTGTAGGTCTCTCGAAGAGCAGAAGACGGCGTAAGCACAACTTTTCGACGGCCTGCCCAGATTTCTGGGATCTGCGCGGGACCCCCCCCTGGCGGCGCCTCCCGCGCCGCGCCCCGAGCGCGCTCCGCGCCGGACTGTCAGTTCGTGCATACAGCATACAGTCAACCCGTATGATAAGGATGAGCAACTTTTCAAGGCTGCCCTTGCATCCCTGCCCTCGGCCCATCCTGAGCGGCTTTCGCTGGCCATCCTCGTTCGAGAAGCGCTCGCGCGGCCCTCCAAGGCCCTTGCGTCCTTCCCGCGCATCCTCAGTATGCGGCTTGGCAGGATGCTCGGGGAAGCGCAGGACTCGAGTACGCCAGTACTCGGGGGGTGCTGCCGCCTTTTGACGAGCGCGTCCTGGCTCCTGACGGCCCAGCTTTTCGTGGGGGGCTGTCCGCAGTCCGATTCCAGACTGGGCCCCGTCACTTCCTGGGGCGGCCCCGCCAGGCCAACCCCGAGTCCCCCGAACCCGAGTCCTGCGTGTCCCCGATCTGCCGTTCTTTGTGATAGGCCTGTTTTCCACCACCACCATAAGTTGGAGGGGGGGGGCTGCTCCTCCTCCTCTTCGTCGTCCTCCTCTTCGTCGTCCTCCTCCTCCTCCTTTTCCTCCTCCTTCTTTTCCTCCTCCTCTTCCTCCTCCTCCTCCTCCTCCTCCTCCTCCTCCTCCCCCTCCTCCTCCCCTCCAACGTATGGTGGTGGTGGTGGAAGACAGGCCCATCACCACGTGTCCCCGATCTGCCGTTCTCTGTTCCTCCGATCTCGCCGCCCCCGCGGGGCCCGCCAGTGCCGCCATGGCGAGGCGCCTCGCCGGCTTCCCCGCCGCGCCCGCCGGCGAGGCGGGGCTGTGCCCCCAGGAGCTCCGCCGCTTCCGCGCCGCCGTGCGCCACGAGACGGAGGACCTCGGGCGACGCTGGTGAGCATCGTCTAACCGATCCCCGTCCCCATCTCCATTCCCTGCGAGGCCCCCGCCCCAATTGCCACCCCAATTGGGGATGCACCCCTCGGAACCTGACGGGAACGACCTACATCCCCATCTAGGGGGGTAAGTCGGCCAGTGGGGCCCAGGCCACGCCGCTGGGGATGGGGATCGGTTAAACGATACTCAGCTGGCGAAAACACGGATCATCATCGTCTCTGGGGAGGCTCCCCTGAAGCCCTTCCGAGCCCTTCGGGAGGCGCTCGGGGGGGCCCTTCGGAGCCTCTCGAGAGCCGCTCGGCGGTGCCCGTCGGAGCCTCTCGGGAGGCTCCGACGAGCCTCGCAGCGAGGCCGCGCAGAGCCTCTCAGCAGCTTGTCGAGGGGGCGGTCGTAGCCTGTCAAGAGCCTCATATGAGGCCCTCAGGTTCTTTCAAATGCATGAACCTACGCGTACATGAGTCCACGCTGGTTTCGAGAGTGCGCGTTGCGCGTACGTTCGTATCGCGCGGCCAGCCTCGCGGATGGGGGGGCCGTGTTCGCATGCATGGCTGGGTGCGCACGTCCTCTGTGGGCTCCCTATAGGAGTCGCCTGGAGTCTGAGGTGGCCCTGCACTGGCTCTGGCCAGCGGGAGGGGCGGGCAGGTCGGAGGCTCTGGGCTCTGGAAGGCTTTTTTGGTGCCCGTTTCGGACTCCGTGGCCTGGTTTCTGCGGGCCCCCGGGACCGTGAAACACGGATGCGGGGTGAAAAGCCATAGGAGGGACTCCGGGGGGGGTCCAGGGTTATGTCGGGCATGTCCCCCTACAGGAGGACTTTGGGCGCAAAATGCAAAGAGTCAAAACATATTCAAACATTGCCAAACAAAAATTATCGAAGAATCGTCCCCAGGCTATTTCTTGACTATTTTTGGATCTTTCTCCTGTAGAGGGACGGGCCCGACTTCAGGCCAGGGACAGACTCTGAGCGGACTTGGCCTTCCTCCGCTTTCCTGGCAGATCTCCTGGGGTCCCCCCACCGCTTCGGACCCCCCCCCCCGGCCGCCTCCCAGGCTCCGTTTTTGATCGAGGAGCGAGCGTTTCAGGAGGGAGAAGATCGGCGCAAACACACACATTGGCGTTGACTTGTGTGACAGCTGTGGGGGAACATTCGGCCAACAAACAAACGACGCCACCCCACCTATGGCCTTGCATGTTGCGCCACGGCCCATCGGGGGCCGTAGCGCATACCATGCAAAAGCCCACGCCAGACGTCCTGGTATACGCTGCGGCCCGTGGGGCCGCAGGTGGGGTGGTGCCGTTTGTTTTCTGGTCCAGATATGGGGAATTGAGGGGAAGCGGAGCATCCAGGAGATGCGGACAACCACGGGAACTCCTCGAATCTTTCGTCGATCTATCCGTGCCTCCCTGGGCCCATGGGACGTCGCTCGTTCGTTCGCAGGCCGTGCCTCGAGGAGCGAAACACGGCATGAGCATGAGCTGCAGGAGGCCCGCGCGGATGCCTCGGACCTGCGCGGCCCCCCCCCCCCCCATGGCGCCGCGCCTGGCGCGCTCCGCGCGCCAGGGAGGAGGGGTCCGCCGCCCACCCCCGAGGAATCCCGCGTGGATTTCGGAGAAAGCCGCGCAGAGCTCTCCGCTCCCCTCCCCCCCCAAACCTCTCGGCCGTCTCTCCTGCCCTCTTCCCCCTCTCCTCGCATGGTGGCACGGTTCGCTGCAACGGCACCCCCGTTCAGCAAGGGCGCCATCGAGGGCGCGAAGTTGTTCGCGCTTCGCGCTTCGCGGTTCGGCCCCGATTCCTCCTCATCTTCCTCTTCTCCCCTGGGAGAAGGCGCGAGAGCGCGAAGTTATTCGCACTTCGCGCTTCGCGCAGCGCGAAGCGCGAAGTTGGGAGCCCTTGTTTAGTGAGCTCTCCGCCAGCGCAGTTGCTCTGCCTGGCCTTGAGTCGGGCCTGTCCCTCTCCAGGAGGAATGTTCAGAAATAGGTAAAACATGTTATGGGACGATGTCTTGACAATCTTTGACCTTTTTGTAGTATTTTGTGAATATCTCTCATTTTTCGCCCAAAATCCGACTGTAGGAGGACATGCCCGACCTAAGCCTAGCCGCCGACGCAAAAAGTGTGTATGAAGCTTTTGTTGTACCTCTCGTGTCGCGCGACACCGCGGCTCGGCAGGGGACGAGTGCTGGCCGCGCAGGATAGCGGCAATCTGCCAGCAGAGGACACACTCGGGAATCTATGGGCTTACGTCGGGCCTGTCCCCCGACAGTGGGAATTCTCAGACATGGAGAACATATCAGTCGGGGAACGATTTTTAAAGTATATCTTTTTTTGTATGGTCATTTGTGAGCATCTTGAAGTATACTTTGAGTTTTCGTCCAGAATCCCCCCTGTAGGGGGACACGCCCGACCCAACTGTGGGGTCAAGCAGCACCATCTCGTTCCACGCTCGCTTTCCGGATTCCAGCGGGCGGCGGCGCCGACATGAAGCCTTCCGCGGTCCGCGCGGAGCTCGTGGGTCGGAGCCGGCCTGGGCGGACTTCTTCGGTCGGGTCGGTCCTGGCGGCGCCCCTGGCGCGCTCGGCGCGCCCTGGGGGTCGGGGGGCAGCGCCGTCCCAAGAACTTTACGCGGACCTCGAAAGTTGCTGGGCTCATGACGGCTCGATTTGTGACTGGACTTGCCTCCTCTCCCGGGCGACACTACTCAAGCCCGGTTCGAGCAAGTGCGGTCGGTATGAGAGGGCTCAATTTGGTGGGTTGCCATCCGAATTCGGTGTCCCATCGGGCGAGGGCGAGTCCGGCTTGTGCAAGTCCAGGCGGTGTTATGGTGCTCCGTTTGGTCGGGCTCTACTTGGGCTGGCGGGAGGAGGAGGAGGAGGAGGAGGAGGAGGAGGAGGAGGAGGAGGAGGAGGAGGAGGAGGAGGAGGAGGAGGAGGAGGAGGAGGAGGAGGAGGAGGGAGGAGGAGGAGGAGGAGGAGGAGGAGGAGGAGGAGGAGGAGGAGGAAGGAGGAGGATGGAGGAGGAGGAGGAGGAGGAGGAGGAGGAGGAGGGTGGAGGAGGGAGTTGGAGTTGGAGGAGGAGGAGGAGGAGGAGGAGGAGGAGGAGTTGGAGTTGGAGTTGGAGGAGGAGGAGGAGGAGGAGAGGAGGAGGAGAAAGGAGTTGGAGTTGGAGGAGGAGAAGAAGGAGGAGGAGAGGAGGAGGAGGAGGAGTTGGAGGAGGAGGAGGAGGAGGAGGAGGAGGAGGAGGAGGAGGATCATGTCCATAGCCATGTCCTCGCGGTCTGGGCACCGACGCGCCATCTCGTGGGTGCGCGATCTCGTGGGCATGCTGTGCGCGGGGCATCCACGTGCAAAGCCGCCGCGCGTCTGTGGGGTCGCGGCGGAGGGGTCCAGACTGCGAGGACATGGTTATGGACATGATCCTCCTCCTCCCTCCTCCTCCTCCTCCTCCTCCAAACTCCTCCTCCTCCCAATCCTCCTCCTTCTCCTCCTCCTCCTCCTCCTCCTCCCCTCCTCCTCCTCCTCCTCTCCTCTCTCCTCCTCCTCCTTCTCCTCTCCTCTCCTCCTCCTCCTCCTCCTCTATCTTCTCCTCCTCCTCCTCCTCCTCCTCCTCCTCCTCCTCCCGCCAGCCCAAGTAGAGCCCGACCACACGGAGCACCATAACATGTTGCCCGCGTTAGGCCGCCGCGCAAGGTTGCCATGGCGTCTTGCGCAGGACCCGTTCTCCTCGTTGCTCACACCGGTGTCGCGGGCCGGACACCGGGGCGCGCTCCCGTGGCTACGCGATCCCGCGGGCACGCCCCACGCGGGGGCGCCCGCGCACCGGTCGCTCCGAGCGGGCCCACGGCGCCGCGGCAGAGGGCTCCAGGCCGCTGTGGAGGTGCTTCTTGCCCCCGAACCCAGAGACCAGTCTTCCCTTTGGCGCGGCCTCCTCCTCCTCCTCCTCCTCCTCCTCCTCCTCCTCCTCCTCCTCCTCCTCCCCTGGAGCCTCAGTCCACCGCAGCTCCTCCTCCCCTGGACGTCCCCCTGCCCGCAGCCACTCCTCCGTCCGGAGCCGTCTGCCGCTGGCCCCGGGGCCCGGGGGGGGGCCCTGCAGCCCGAGCACGGCGGTGCAGAAGCCGCCCCGTGCTCTCGGGGCGTCGGGCGTCTAGCGCTCGGGGCACAGCTCGGGCCGCCGGAGCCGTCCGGCAGCCCTGTGCTCTCGGGGCGTCGGGTGCCCTGTGCTCTCGGGGCGTCGGGCGTCCAGCTCTCGGGGCACAGCTCGGGCCGCCGGAGCGATCCAGGTAGCCCTGGAGCGCTTGCGACGAGGCGCAGCTGCGGGAAGGCATGCCGAAGCGAGAAAAGAACGCCCCACAGACGAGATGACGAGAGCGACGCCGAGGCTTCTCAGGAGGCTCTCGGACGTCCGGGCACTCTCTGCAGGCTCGCCCGCGTCGGCGCGGCGGCGATCCCGGAGCTGGCGTGCAAGGTTGCACGCAGCCGGTGGCCAGGATTCCGCCGGCACCGAGCCATCCGCGCTGTCGGAGAGCCACGATCGTGGGCGGGTGCACGAGCCACGCGGTGTCGAGACCAAAGCCGAAGCCTGGAAGACAAGAGCCTCCCGTACAGTCGGGCCGCTGAAGGAGGACCCCTTTCTCGTGGGGGAGGGGCTCAGTGTTCCTTAAGTTATTGAATCGATTCGCTCATTCCGCCAGCCCGTGTTGCGCGCCGTTGTCGATTGGCAGAGTGGTCTGTCGCGGTGCGGAGCTGCAGGGGCGGCGGCTGTTTTCATCAGGCTTTGCGTTCCGCATGTGAGGTTTCTTGGTGGCCGCTGGGGGAGTCTTGAACGCGTCGCGGGCCGTCTGGAAGCGTTTTGCCTATGGGGACTCTTTCGGGAGGCCTCTTGGTGGCCTCTTGGGGAATCTTAAACGCATCGGGTCGTTGGCACTTGCTTGCGTGCTCCTGGGGCCGCTTGGGGGCCTCCTCGGGGGCCTCCTGAGGCCTGTCGGGGACCTCTTGGGGCCTCTTAGGGGCCTCTTGGGGACTCCTGGGGGCTTCGTAGGGCCGAGGGCTCGAACTGTTGTTTTGTGTTCCCCCCCTGGGACCTCTCTTGGGGCGTTCTTGGGGCGTTCTTGGGGCCTTCTTGGGGCGTCTTGGAGGCCTCGTGGGCCGTCTTGGAGGCCTCTTGGGCCGTCTTGGGGCCCTCTTGGGGGCCTCTTGGGCCCTCTTGGGTCGGTCTTGGGGGCCTCTTGGGCCGTCTTGGGGTGGCAGGAAGCCGAAAAGGTGGAAACGCCAAAATCTCTCCCAAACCTCTGGAGAAACAATGATTTTTACCTCTTGGGGCCCTCTTGAGGGTGTGTGGACCTCCGACAGTTCATATTCCTGCCATTTTGTTTTCCGAGACCCTTGCCGTGTCGCCGATACATCGGGGATGCAGCCCGACGTGGAGCCCGACCTTCTCCGCGCCGCGCCGCGAAATCCGCGCGGACTCCCGAAGGCTCCTGTGCCGCCCGAGCCTGAGCTGGGCGCCGTCTCCGTGCCGCCCCAGCTTCTATAACCTCACCCGTCACCGGCTCGTGCCGCCAGGAGCGGGGCCCTCTGACCGTGGCGTGAACCTTGCGAGCCCCCTGGCCCGGCCCCCCCCTAAACCACTGTGCCGTCACTTGCTGCGCCCTCGAGGGCGCGAAGCCATTCGCACTCCGCGCCTCGCGGCTCGGCTCCGACTCCTCCTCGTCCTCCCCCTCTCCCCTGGGGAGGCGGCGCGAGAGCGCGAAGTTCTTCGCACTTCGCGCTTCGCGCCGCGCGAAGCGCAAAGTTGGGAGCCCTTGTTTTGTGAGCTCTCCGCCAGCGCAGTTGCTCTGCCTGGCCTTGAGTCGGGCCTCTCCCTCTCCGGGAGGAATGTTCAGAAATAGGCAGTAAATCGTATGGGGACGAGGTTTTGACAATCTTTGACTTTTTTTGGGTATGTTTTGAATGTTTTCATTTTTCGTCCAAAATCCGCCTGTAGGAGGACATGCCCTGGGAGGCGGCGCGAGAGCGCGAAGTTGTCCGCACTGCGCGCTCCGCGCAGCGCGCGGCGCGACGTTGGGAGCCCTCGTGTGCCACGCCTCCGCGGCCGCCCTCTCCCTGTTTGGGGGGCCACATGCGAACCCTACCCCTAATTACCCCCCACGATTTCTGAGGGGGAGGGTGGGGTTCACTTCGTTCGGGAGCTGCCGACCGAAGTGAAGCCCACCCTCCCCCGCAGAAGTCGTGGGGGGTAGGGGTAGGGTGCGGCATGTGGCCCCCTATTGGAGTCGGGCGTGGCCCTCTACAGGAGGAAGATGCAAAGGTAGCCACAAGAGTAGTCTGGGGACACATATTATTTTGGGTTATTTGTTTTGGCTATTTTGGAGCTTGGTTGGACTAGTTTTTAGTTTTCGTCCAAAATCCCCCCTGTAGGAGGACATGCCCGACCTAACATTCTTTGTTTCCTGATGTGCAGCGTCTCCCAAAGGACCATGGCAACGGCGACGACGACGACGATGACGGCGGCGGTGACGACGACGACGGCGACGACGAAGAGTCACATGAAACAGCCTCTCGCACACGCCGACGGGGTTGGCGGATGTGTTCCACGATGTGCAGCGTCTCCCGGCGGACCCTCTGACACCTCGCGACGCCCCCCCCGTTCAGTTTCAGGGGGACGGGGTAACCCTGATAGGGGGAGGGGCAAATCCTTCCCCGGAGGGGAAGAAGGCGTGTTGGAAGATGAAGCGCTCTAAACCACTCACGCCCAGAGGGCTGGTGGGATTTGTTCCCCGATGTGTAGCGTCTCCCGAAGGTCGGCAGCGAGCGAGGGGGGGAGTGAGAAGCAGGCCCTCTGGCGGCGGGGTTCTCAGAAGCCCTCGCGCCTTCTGAGAGGGTTTCTGTGTGTCCCAGGATCTCTTAGAAAGCGTCTCAGAAGGCCAGGGGACTTCGAGTCTTCTGAGTCGGGGCTGAAGAGACGGGGGTCCATGCAAACGGGGGGGTCAGTCGGAGCGCTGGGCGCAGAATCTTGCAAGGCCTGACTGACCCGGGTCTGGATTGACCTCTGTCAGACGATCCCCGACCGAGAAGAAGGCCTCCTCCTCCTCACTTCCCCCCGGGCTCGCCGCTGGGGTATCCCAAGTCCCGCTCGTGTGTGGCTGAGGTATCCCACGTCCGCTCCTCCTCCTCCTCCTCCTCCTCCTCCTCGTCCTCCTCGTCCTCCTCCTCCTCCTCCTCCTCCTCCTCCTTCTCCTCCTCCTCCCGTCCTCCTCCCCCTCCTCCTCCTCCTTCTCCTCCTCCTCCTCCTCCTCCTCCTCCTCCTACTCCTGGCTGTGTGTGTGTGTGTGTGCCCCGATCCAGGACCTCGGGAGCCTGGCTGGGGTGTCCCACGTCGTGCTGCACCGCGGCCGCTGCGTCTTCGCCTGCAGCGGGGGCTGGGCCGACCGGGCCGCGGGCGCGCGCTTCGGGCTGCGCACGCTCTGCCGGCTGCACGGGGCGACGAAACCCCTCGTCCGGAAGGGCCAGCGGCAGGCAGTGGCGAAGCGTCCCGGCGTGCCTATGAGGCCTACCAAGCACTCGGGAGCGGAAAAGAGGGGGGTGATGACTAGGGGGGGGTGGATTTCATGGCGCGGGCCATGATTTTTCCTCAGGTTTCATGGCGCCTCTTCTTATTTCATTACGTCCCAGGCCCCCCCGCTGGGCCGCGCACATGCCGCAGGTCATGATTCGCACCCCCCCCTCTTGGAACCCCCCCTCTTGGCCGCTCCCGAAAGCACTGCTCTGAGAGCTCGTCGCGCGTGATCTTTGGTGCCCCTGCCGCGCCGTCTCGCGACGCGTCGTGCCGCGCGAGAGAACTCTCCTGACCCCGTGTGCCCGATCCTCCGGATTGCCTCAGTTCCTACAGCGCATCCTGAAGACTGTCATCGCCGCGGGCTTGCCGATCGTAGGGGTGAGGATATGATCGATTACGGGGCGTGAAAACGACCACAGCCGCTGCTTTTATTTTGCCGCTTTCCAGCCCGCAGAAACAAAGCAGTAGCTGTGGTCATTTTCGTTGAGCTTGGCACCAGGGAAATGACCACAACCACTGCTTCTTTTTCGGCCGGCTGGAAGGCGGCGCAAACAAGAAGCAGTGGCTGTGGTCATTTTTCCGTCCCGCATCGATTCTGGCCAGAAGCGGCACGGGCAGACGCTCTTGGCGGGCCGCGCCCGAGCAGACCTGCGCCTCGATAGAGGGCCGGGGCGCCCGGTCTGTCGCCACTCTTGGCCTCCCGGGGGCGGTTCTCGGGCCTCTTTGGGCCAGCAAGAAGCGGCCCGGCAGGCAGAACCGGCCTCGGGGAAGGCAGGGGCCGAGAGAGAGAGAGGTCCCGGGGCCGCCTGGACCGCGTCGTCGTCGTCGTCGTCGTCGTCGTCGTCGTCGTCGTCGTCGTCGTCGTCGGCTTCGTCGTCGTCGTCGTCGTCGTCGGCTTCGTCTTCGTCGTCGTCGTCGTCGTCGTCGTCGTCGTCGTCGTCGTCGCTTTCGTTGAGTCTTTGTCGCAGGCCTGGAAGTTGACACCAAGACCAAAATCGGCGGAATGCCTCCACCGTGGGAAGGCTTTTCCGATCTCGGTGATGGTGGTAATATTTTTTTGGCTTCCGAGGTGGCCGAAGCATCACCACCAAGACCGAAATCTGGGATCCTCTCCCCCCTGTGGAGGCAAACCCCTGTGTTTGTATTGGTGCCCATTTCCAGGACTCCAGCTTTGGTCGGAAGCCGGGCAAGGGCTGCTAAATCCGTGGCTGCTAAAATCGACCTCCGGGAAGTTGATTTCGTCCTTCCGGGAAGAAGCCCGTTGATTGTTTCGCGCCCCCGCGTCGAGAGCAAACCAATGCGCAGATTTTTACAAGGGCGCCATCGAGGGCGCGAAGTTATTCGCGCTTCGCGCTTCGCGGTTCGGCTCCGATTCCTTCTCATCCTCGTCTCCCCTGGGAGGCGACGCGAGAGCGCGAAGTTATTCGCACTTCGCGCTTCGCGCAGCGCGAAGCGCGCAGTTGGCAGCCCTTGTTTCTAGGCCTCCCAGATGGGGTCGGAGTAGATTCAAGTCGGGCACGTCCCTCTACAGGATGAAAATTCCAAGGTAGTCAGAACATAATCCAGGGCCGATGTGTTGAGTATTTCTGAAGCAGTTTCGAACATACATATATATGTAAATATGTATTTGTGTTTATGTATACACATATATATATATTGACTATCTTTTAGCCGACGTCGCCGATGCATCGCTGGTGCATCGCTGGTGCATCGCCGATGCATCGCCGACGTATCGCCGATGCGGCGCGATCCTCCGACCCCATCTACTCCGACCCCCTCTAGTAGGCCTCTAAGGTTTTCTTCGAGTGGGGGATCGACTACATAATTGATTTACCTCAATTTTGTTTTTCAGTCGAGTCTACGAAATACGAAGACTGTTCCGTTGACACACCAACATGCTACGTCTGTTTTCGTAGATTCGACAAGAATAGATAATTTTGTGGTACATCAATTCTGTAGTCGATCCCCCACTCGATTTCTGGCTCTTGCATCTGGAAGCCAGTTGCGGAAGCCAGGATCGTCAGCAGACGTACCGTGGACCAGAAGTCGGCCCCGGCGCAGGGGTCGAGATGTCTGGGGGCCCACGCATCAAGCGACATCGAAGCGACGCCCGCTTGGGACGGCGGCATTCAGGAGGGAAAAGAACACACAGACACAATTCATCGCCGATCCCCCAGAGAATATGGGAAAATATGGGAAGTGGTGGGGAAGACAAAAACCTAGAAAATATAGGAAAATATGGGGAATCTTTTTATTTGTGTGTATTTATTTGTGTGTCCCAGGGCCCCTTCAGGCATGGGCAGACATTTTTTTTTTGTCGGAGGTCCTCAGACATCCAGCGTCTTGAACACACCAAGTCGTGCGGTGCCGGCAGTTTCCGGCCTCCGGGGGCCCTCGCCCGCTCCCGGGCCCTTGTCCGGAACCAAGGGCGCCATCGAGGGCGCGAGGTTATGCGCGCTGCGCGCCTCGCGGTTCGGCTCCGATTCCTCCTCCTCCTCCTCCTCGTCTCCCCTTCTCATCCTCTTCTCCTCCTTTTCTCCCCTCCTCTTCTCTCCTCCTCTTCTCCTCTTTTCCTCCTCCTCATCCTCCTCTTCTCCCCTCCTCTTCTCCCCTTCTCATCCCGATTCCTCCTCATCCTCCTCCTCATCCTCCTCTTCTCCCCTGGGAGAAGTCGCGAGAGCGCGAAGTCATTCGCACTCCGCGCTTCGCGCTGGGCGAAGCGCGGAGTTCGGAGCCCTTGAGAACGACTCCGCATGAGAAGCTGGCCCCAGGGCAGTCGTTGAGACTCACTTGAGGACCCCGTGTTTCGAGTAGGGGATCGGCCGCATAGTTGACTCATCCCAAACATGGTTTGTCCGTCGAATCTACAGAACATGCGTATGTTGCTCGTAGACCTACGAACATGGCACGTATTGCGAAGGCCTTACGGCCGGTACCGCCGACCCTGAAGATGGCGACGAGGACGACGAGGATGTTGAGGAGCAGGTGGCGGAGGACGCTAGGGAGCAGAAGGGGCGAGGAGGAGGAGAAGGAGGAGGAGAAGGAGGAGGAGGAGGAGGAGAAGGAGGTGCGAGGGGCAGGATGAGGACGTCGTAGATCTACGAACAGTATACGCATATTTTTTCTAGACTCGACGGGAAGATGTGCACGACTTTCTTGGGCTGGCTCTGGATTCCCTCTGCGCCGGCGGCGGCGCCAGGGGCGGCGCCAGGGGTGTGGGGCGGGGGTCCAGCGCCGACGTAAGGTCGGGCGTCGGCAGAACTGGGTTTAGTGGGACCTCGTTTAGTGAGGTGTGCTGGGGGGCGCCCCCAGGGAACGCGGGAAGCAGCGGCAGAGAGCAGCAGCGCAGAGGAGACGGGCGAACGCCTTAAGGGTCGAACTCGGCCCTGAAAGGCCCGACACGGCCGGCCACGGCACGCGGGGCGCGAATTCTGCAGGTCGGAGCCCGTCTCGGCCCCCCCCCTGCCCCGTTCCACTAGCCGGAACTGCCGTCACCCGAACAAGCAGCAGCTACGGCAGACCTG